TGAGGACATGAGTTCAAACCCCACTACTGCCAAAAAAAAAAAAAGAGCTGAAGAAATGTCTGTGACCATGTTAAGAAGCTCCCCTGATCCTGCACACAGAAAGTGACACCCAACTTAACCATGAAAAGGCAGGCAGCACCAAACCACAGGATAAGAAAAAGCAAGACAGTAGAGAGTAACATCAAGTTAGGTACACACAATCAAACCTTCAAACAACTAAGATAACTAAATGGCAGGAATCACCACATACCTATCAGTACTAACACTTAATGTTAATGGACTTAATTCACCCATCAAAAGACACCGTTTGACAAAATGGATTAAAAAAGAAGATCCAACAATTTGTTGCTTACAGGAGACTCATCTCACCGACAGAAATAAGCATATGCTTAGGATGAAAGGCTGGAAGAAGATTTACCAAGCCAATGGCCCCCGAAAACAAGCAGGAGTAGCAATACTTATCTCTGACAAAGTAGACTTCAAACCTACATTGATCAAACGAGATAAAGAAGGACATTCCATACTAATAAAAGGGGAAATAGACCAAAAGGAAATAATAATCATCAATCTGTACGCACCCAATGTCAACGCACCCAATTTCATCAAACATACCCTGAAAGACCTAAAAGCATATATAAACGCCAACACAGTGGTTGTGGGAGACTTTAACACCCATTATCATCAATAGATAGGTCATCCAAACAAAAACTCAATAAAGAAATCCAAGATCTAAAATATGCAATAGATCAAGTGGACCTAGTAGATGTCTACAGAACATTTCATCCAACTCTACACAATATACATTCTTCTCAGCAGCCCATGGAACCTTCTCCAAAATAGATCATATCCTAGGGCACAAAGCAAGCCTCAGCAAATACAAGAAATAGAAATAATACCATGCATACTATCTGACCACAATGTAGTAAAAGTAGAACTCAACAACAAAAGTAAAGACAAAAAACATGCAAACAGCTGGAAACTAAATAACTCATTACTTAATGAAGAATGGATCATCGATGCAATAAAAGAGGAAATTAAAATGTTCCTGGAAGTCAATGAAAATGAAAACACAACCTACCGGAACCTATGGGACACAGCTAAGGCAGTCTTGAGAGGAAAGTTTATAGCCATGAGTGCATATATTAAAAAGATTGAAAGATCCCAAATCAATGACCTAATGATACATCTCAAACTCCTAGAAAAACAAGAACAAGCAAATCCCAAAACAAATAGAAGGAGAGAAATAATAAAAATAAGAGCTGAAATCAACGAAATAGAAACCAAAAAAACCATACAAAGAATTAATGAAACAAAAAGTTGGTTCTTTGAAAAAATAAACAAGATCGATAGACCCCTGGCAAACCTGACTAAAATGAGGAGAGAAAAAACCCAAATTAGTAGAATCAGGAATGCAAAAGGGGAGATAACAACAAACACCATGGAAGTCCAGGAAATCATCAGAGACTACTTTGAGAACCTATATTCAAATAAATTTGAAAATCTAAAAGAAATGGACAGATTTCTAGATACATATGATCATCCAAAACTGAACCAAGAGGAAATTAATCACCTGAATAGACCTATAACACAGAATGAAATTGAAGTAGCAATCAAGAGTCTCCCCAAAAAGAAAAGTCCAGGACCTGATGGATTCTCTGCTGAATTCTATCAGACCTTTAAAGAAGAACTGATACCAACCCTCCTTAAAGTGTTCCATGAAATAGAAAGGGAAGGAAAACTGCCAAACACATTTTATGAAGCCACTATTACACTTATCCCAAAACCAGGCAAAGACACCTCCAAAAAGGAGAACTATAGGCCAATCTCCTTAATGAACATTGATGCAAAAATCCTCAACAAAATAATGGCAAATCGAATTCAGCAACACATCAAAAAGATTATTCACCACGACCAGGTAGGCTTCATCCCAGGGATGCAGGGGTGGTTCAACATACGAAAATCAATAAACGTAATAAACCACATTAACAGAAGCAAAGACAAAAACCACTTGATCATCTCAATAGATGCAGAAAAAGCCTTTGATAAGATCCAACATCATTTCATGATAAAAGCTCTAAGAAAACTAGGAATAGAAGGAAAGTTCCTCAACATTATAAAAGCTATATATGACAAACCTACAGCCAGCATTATACTTAACGGAGAAAAATTAAAACCATTCCCTCTAAAATCAGGAACCAGACAAGGATGCCCACTATCTCCACTCCTATTCAACATAGTACTGGAATTCCTAGCCAGAGCAATTAGGCAAGAAGAAGGAATAAAAGGAATACAAATAGGTAAAGAAACTGTCAAAATATCCCTATTTGCAGACGACATGATCCTATACCTTAAAGACCCAAAAAACTCTACTCAGAAGCTTCTAGACATCATCAATAGCTATAGCAAGGTAGCAGGATATAAAATCAACATAGAAAAATCATTAGCATTTGAAAACAATTCCATTTACAATAGCCTCAAACAAAATCAAATACCTAGGTGTAAACCTAACAAAAGATGTGAAAGACCTCTACAAGGAAAACTATACACTTCTGAAGAAAGAGATTGAGGAAGACTATAGAAAGTGGAGAGATCTCCCATGCTCATGGATTGGTAGAATCAACATAGTAAAAATGTCTATACTCCCAAAAGTAATCTACATGTTTAATGCAATTCCCATCAAAATTCCAATGACATTCATCAAAGAGATTGAAAAATCTACTGTTAAATTTATATGGAAACACAAGAGGCCACGAATAGCCAAGGCAATACTCAGTCAAAAGAACAATGCAGGAGGTATCACAATACCTGACTTCAAACTATATTACAAAGCAATAATAATAAAAACAGCATGGTACTGGCACAAAAACAGACATGAAGACCAGTGGAACAGAATAGAGGACCTAGATATGAAGCCACACAACTATAAGCAACTTATCTTTGACAAAGGAGCTAAAAATATACGATGGAGAAATAGCAGCCTCTTCAACAAAAACTGCTGGGAAAACTGGTTAGCAGTCTGCAAAAAACTGAAACTAGATCCATGTATATCACCCTATACCAAGATTAACTCAAAATGGATCAAGGATCTTAATATCAGACCCCAAACTCTTAAGTTGATACAAGAAAGAGTAGGAAATACTCTGGAGTTAGTAGGTATAGGTAAGAACTTTCTCAATGAAACCCCAGCAGCACAGCAACTAAGAGATAGCATAGATAAATGGGACCTCATAAAACTAAAAAGCTTCTGTTCATCAAAAGAAATGGTCTCTAAACTGAAGAGAACACCCACAGAGTGGGAGAAAATATTTGCCAATTATACATCAGACAAAGGACTGATAACCAGAATATACAGGGAACTTAAAAAACTAAATTCTCCCAAAACTAATGAACCAATAAAGAAATGGGCAAGTGAACTAAACAGAACTTTCTCAAAAGAAGAAATTCAAATGGCCAGAAAACACATGAAAAAATGCTCACCATCTCTAGCAATAAAGGAAATGCAAATTAAAACCACACTAAGATTCCACCTCACCCCTGTTAGAATAGCCATCATCAGCAACACCACCAACAACAGGTGTTGGCGAGGATGCGGGGAAAAAGGAACCCTCTTACACTGTTGGTGGGAATGTAGACTAGTACAACCACTCTGGAAAAAAATTTGGAGGCTACTTAAAAAGCTGGACATCGATCTACCATTTGATCCAGCAATACCACTCTTGGGGATATACCCAAAAGACTGTTACTCCAGAGGCACCTGCACATCCATGTTTATTGCGGCACTATTCACAATAGCCAAGTTATGGAAACAGCCAAGATGCCCCACACTGACGAATGGATTAAGAAAATGTGGTATCTATACACAATGGAATTTTATGCAGCCATGAAGAAGAACGAAATGTTATCATTCGCTGGTAAATGGATGGAATTGGAGAACATCATTCTGAGTGAGGTTAGCCTGGCCAAAAGACCAAAAATCGTATGTTCTCCCTCATATGTGGACATTAGATCAAGGGCAAACACAACAAGGGGATTGGACTATGAGCACATGATAAAAGCGAGAGCACACAAGGGAGGGGTGAGGATAGGTAAGACACCTAAAAAACTAGCTAGCATTTGTTGCCCTTAATGCAGAGAAACTAAAGCAGATACCTTAAAGCAACTGAGGCCAATAGGAAAAGGGGACCAGGAACTAGAGAAAAGGTTAGATTAAAAAGAATTAACCTAGAAGGTAACACCCACGCACAGGAAATCAATGTGAGTCAATGCCCTGTATAGCTATCCTTATCTCAACCAGCAAAAACCCTTGTTCCTTCCTATTATTGCTTATACTCTCTCTACAACAAAATTAGAGATAAGGGCAAAATAGTTTCTGCTGGGTATTGAGTGGGGGAGCGGGAGGGGGTGGAGTGGGTGGTAAGGGAGGGGGTGGGGGCAGGGGGGAGAAATAAACCAAGCCTTGTATGCACATATGAATAATAAAAGAAAAATGAAAAAAAAAAAAAAAAAGAAGCTCCCCTGCTTGCCTAAGCTCAAGCACAGAGGATATCAAGTGCATCCTGGAGGAGTGGCCAGCTCCCAGGCACCTGAATGTCACTGTGCCCTGCTGGACCAGGACTCTAAATGGACTGGGGGGACTTGGGAAGGGAGTGTTGCCCCAAGAGTAGCCTGTGCCACACAACCTGAGAGCTGGTGATGCCAAGTCAGGGACAAGATGTAATGTCGCATATGGACACAGCTTGGTGTTTGACTATGGTTTTCAATCTCTCCTTACCTTCTCTGCTCCTCTTTTTGGAGCACCTAGTTCCTCAGATAGAAACTTCAAGTCAGCCAGCGAAGAGCTCCAATCTCAGCCAGCCTCACAGCCAGGGTGACAGTCTCAGTCCCCATCTGTGCAAGGGCTACGTGTAGCAGCCCTGCCCTACAGGGCTGACCCAGGCCATGTGAGCCAGCCCTGCCCTGAGCACGTGTGAGGGCCGGCAGCACCCACCCCACCAGCGTACCGTGGTCCTCTGTAGAGGCAGGAGTGCACTGGGCTCCTTCTTCCTCCTCCTCATCTGGGCCTGCTCCCTCCATGCCTGCAGAGTTCTTTTGTCTCTGGAGAAAATACGCGGTCAAATTACAGTCACAAGCAAAGCTTACAAGGCTCCCTATCTGTCCTCTCAGTGTCACACAGTGTTCTCCTGTCCACCCATCCCTAGAGGAGAAGTGCTGGGCAGGGGCTGTGTGCATACGGTCAGCTGATGTCTGGCAAGGCAGCTGTGCTCTCCCAGCCCCAGTGCCAAGAGCCTGAGACAAAGGCCCCACCCTGTCTCTGGGAGGATGTCAACCAGGCTGCAGGTGCTGCACCATAGACCTCCAGGCCTTGTCCACAGGAAGCTTCAAAGACTCACTCACAAGTAAACTTCCTGCTAGATACTTGCCTTTCCCTTTAAACAATGAGCATCTTTGGTCTTTCCCTAACACCCAGATCCCTAATCTCTGGGGCAGGGCCAGGCCCTCTGTGTCTGTTTTGTGTGTCAGGCTCATGGGAGGTGCAGCTGGGCTGAGCTCCTAAAGAAAGCAGAATTTCTAAGTCATTCTGTGTGGCTGGGGATGGGATGAGGCCTTGCCACCATTTCTGCAGCCCCAGGGCCCTGCCTGTCTGAACCAACTCCCCTTCTGCTGTCAATTCCTGTGTGGGTGTACCCTCTCCCCCAGATCAGCCTTTTTCGGTCAACCCTTCTCAGCAGACACCTGGCACATCCTACCCTTTTGCTTGCCTTGCCTCCTGAGCTCTTCCTTTGTGGACACAGGGATTCTGCTTTCCTTGGGCTTGCCTCTGGCTTAGGCGCTCTCAGAACTGATGGGGTTCTCCCTGGGCTCCACCACGGAGGTGCATCTTCCCAGGAGCCTACATAGGTTCTGGACCCCAGCTCCAGTACACTGGTGCTGTTTACATCCCTTCGCTCAGTTCCTGGACAAGCTCTCTGTCCCAGGGGCAGGATGAAGCTGCTTGCCTCTCAGGAGCAAGGGGTTAATATTCCTAGACAGGTGAGAGGAGAGAGGCCCAGGGGCTGTACCTAGGTCTAGAACTACACTGAAGGCCTCCTGAGCTGCCCAGTGAGAAGGCACAGACAAGGTCTCAGGGCTGAGACAGGGCAATGAAGAAGAGGTTTCACCTGCTCTTTGTATTCAAGGTATTTTCTTCTACAAGGCACGGGACCCATTATTGAAGGAAGACAACCCCCAGGTGTGCCCACAGATGCTGTCTTATGAACAGTCTGTCCCCAGCAGTCCCAGAGAAACAAACTGGCACTCCCCACAGACACTTCAGGAGGGTTTATTCACAGCCAGGCTTCTGAGGGGAGGGAGCGGGAAGTGCAGGCCAGTGCAGGCCCTGGATGGCCTGCCAAGGAAGGGGTAGCTGCCAGAGCCAGGAAAGAGGCTGAGTGGGCAGTGTGTGGGACTGGCAGGCCTGTAGAAGCTCACAGAGAGGCCGGGGACATTGCCCTGATGCCTGCTGGGCGCCCCATTGGCCAAACCCAACCACAAGCTGCAGAGCACAGGGGTACTGTGGACGAAGTTCATGCTGGCCGGCCTCCTGGGGCCCAAAGTAGGGTGCAGCTGGGTGGTCAGCAGAGCTGAAGGACAGAACAGAGAAGACACTGAGAACAGGGCCTGGGCAGTCACCAGGAACCCGAGAGCATGGGAGTGGGTAAGTATGGTCAGCAACACAAGAGGGACCTCAACAAGACCACGTTATTTTTAAATAGCACTCTTCAGGAAAGGATGGTCGGTCAGTGGTGAGGGGAAGGGATTATGAAGAGCAACAAAAAAGGTAAACACAAGAAGGCAGGCAGGCAGGCATGGGGAAAAGGCCGGAGACCTGCTCGGAGGATGACTATGATGACCGCACAGGCCCAGGCCCAGGCCCATGCCTGCGCCCAGGGAGCCACACCCGCTCTACAGACGCACCTTCTCCGCTGCTCCATCAGAGCCTGCTTCTCCCGGAGCTCTCTGAGCGCTGCCACACGACCCTCTTCAAGTCGTTTTGCTGGAATCGCTGTTTGGTGTAGTGCCGCGAGAGCAGGTAGGATGTTTTTGAAAGAGGGAGCCTTCCTCCTAAAGTTACAAAATGTCCTTAACTGAATACTTAAAACCCTGTGATGACCAGTTATGTTTTTGCAAAATATAACATCATTACAAATTAACCCTTAAAATTCCAAAGGTAAGGCTTGTGGGCCAACGGCTCATTAGGACGGTCACAGTGAATACAGAGCAGTTACCCTGAGGAAAACCACACTACTGATCTGTGTTAACTGAGGCACGGTATGGAGATAATGGACTGCAGAAGGATTCTACCCTAAATGACCACTACAGAATTACATGTGTGTAGGAAAAGACATCAATCACATCGTTCCCAGGAAGTGATTGCCCCAACCGCCCACACTGCCCAAATCAACCTTGGAAGCTGGGATTGGCACTGACTGGACAGAGGGGCAAGGTGTGAAGTGCTGCTGAAGAGCAATGAGTACACATGTTCCTGCTCCTTACGCTAAGTGAAGGTTAGAAAACTCCTGCTCTCTCCACTCCCTGACAACACGCCAACAGCTCTGGCCTCCAAGGCCACACCACAGCTGGAAGCCCGTGACATGGCCAGTGACTTCCAGGCTGCAATCTGTCAGTGGTGCCTCACAGGTTTTAAATTTATTTTTAAACTGTTCAAGCCTACGGGACAGCTGAAAGGTCAGTGCCACAACTGTTGGCCACCCCCCAACCAGACCCTTACTCTCTACCTGTCTTCCCCCACCCCCATCCCCTTCTCCCAACACCCTACAGACCTGTGCTTCTGCTCCTGCTGCCTGGGGTGCTGCAGGACCACAGAGTCTTCTACCTCTGAGGTGCTATCACCCCAGGAGCCCACTGCTGTCCCCTTGGGTGTGATGACTGGTCCCTGGAGAGCACGTGAGCTAGACTCACCATTATCAATTTGCCACATTCTCTCTCCACACAGGTGTATTTATACAGATACACGCATGCACACCCCCACACATGCACACTCCATATACACTCCACACTGCACATGTACACACACCCGCACCACACCACACCTGCAGGTTCTCTCTCTCCCATGTGGTTTCCTCTGTTGAACCTGTTCTCATGGGGACTTCCACTTGCTGTCGGCCTACACCCAAGGCTAGGCTTTGACCCATAATAAGTGACAGCGATGCAGAGAAGCATCCTAGAACACTGACCTCATGTTTTAAAAGATAATTACAAAGTAATTTTACAACTCTGCAAAGACCAGGGCAACACTTCTGTGGTCTTCGTCCTACCTGACAGCATGTCTTCTCTTTGAGGGGTCCTTCCCCTCCGTGTTTAAGGCCGCCCTGAGGTTTGGAGGCAACTCGATGGGTAAGAGTTGTTTCTCCAGAACCTTGGCCTTTTCATTCTCAACGATCTCCTGCCTCAGCTTCCAGAAGCGCCTGATTTCCTCCTCGCTCGGCCAGTGTTCTGAGCAGTCGGGGGACTTCCTGAGCTCGCTCAGGTCTAGCCTGTCGACAGGTGGGAAGAAGTCGGCCTTTTCCTTCACTGCAGCTGCCTGATGATTGCTGGCTTGGTCTCCAGACATGCAGTCAGCGGGTAAAGCCAGCACAGAGGCCGGAAGCTCGCTCAGGCTCCTCTTCCTGCCCAGCAAGGCCTCTGGCAGAGGAAAAGACATCTTAGCTGCCCGCACATCAGCCCCCCTCCAAGACCAACCCAACAGTCCATGCAGGGAGCCTCCTTTGGGAGGCTCTGTGCTCCTTCATTCCCCACAAGCTGCCATGGAGCCAGAGCCATCTGCCTGGACATAGCACTCAAGGAACCTGACCTTGTCAGTTTCTCCACTTTAGGGAAAATTTCTGCATGTCTACATGAGGTACTTTTGCCTCACTTATGGATGTTTCTGTGGCTCTGCCCCCAAGCTCCTCACTCTTTATTTTCAGTCAGTTGTAGCCCATTATGCCTGTCTTTTTTTGTTTGTTTTTGGCAGTACTGGGGTTTGAACTCATGGCTTTACGCTTGCTAGGCAGGCATTCTACTGCTTGGGTCACATCCCAGCCCTTTGTGCCTTAATGTATTTTCATGTAGGGTTGTGCATTTCTACCCAGGGCCAGCCTCAGACCACAAGATCCTCTTACCTATGCCTCCACATAGCTGGGTTTACAGACGTGCCCCACCACGCTGTTATTTGTTGAAGTGGGGCCTTGTTAACTTTTTGCCCAGGCTGGCCTCAAACCTTCCTGGTCTCTACTTCTTGAGTAGCTGGGATTATAGAGATAAAAACCACACTTGGCCTGCTTTGTAAAGACTTAATTCTACATAAACTATTGAGAGAAAATTGTCTCAAAGCATATTCACCACTGAGTCCAGTACTATAGCTGGTGTCACTCCTGTCCCATGGACATAAGCTGCAGAACTGTCCACAGACAGGCAGATACTCAGACCACAGCCAAGGGGACTTGGGTCAGGCCAGATGCAGGGCCCTGCAGTGCAAAGCAGGAGCTGAGGGGTGGGCTAAATGGAGAGTCCCACTCCGTCATTTTGAGCCTTTTGATCTTTGATTTTAAACAGTCTGACTACTCTAAGTTAGTCTGTGCAAAAGTATACTCATATGACCCAAGCGGGAGAGCACCTGCCTAGCAAGTATGAATCCCTGAGTTCAAACCCCAAAATAAATAAGTAAGTAAAAAATACACTCACTTCAGCCTTTTACATCTAATTTGTTTACTTAACTACTTGCCACCATATTTTCAAGCCAATTATGTAGCTATCATATACTTAAAGAGAGATACTTTTCTCTTTAAGCCAAGGTTGAAGGATGTAGCAAAAGAACACTGTCTATCTTCAATGCCAGCTGCACTTTAGACACTGAATTCTAAAATGTGTCTTCCACTGTCAGTGGTTCATGATTCCCCCCTTTAAGCAGAAGACTGTCTTTAAGCACACTCCCTGGGAGGGGGCTCCATGTGCCAAGGGAACCATGGGCTGTCACTACTGCTTGCCTCTGTCCTGCCCCAGGGGCCTCCCTCCCCTGCTGACCCCAAGCCAGGGGTGTGACCAGGTGTACTCCACACAGGACATGTCCTCAACCACCACACGATACTGACTGCTACACGTATGGGGTTGCAGGTTTTAAAGAAAAGCAGTTTAAGAGAGCGTGAGCGGGAGGCGGAGCCGGGGGAGCTGCTCTCATAGCTCCCCCTGGCCTCAGGCCCAGCTGCTCGAGGGGGAGGAGTTACCGCCGCTGTTCGGTATTAGAACTTACCATGATGGCTGTGACCTAAAATCCTCAGGAAGTCCCAGGGTCATGGCCCAGAAGCACCCCGGAGAAAGAGGGTTTTGTGGAGCCCACCATAGTGGTGGTGCCTCTCTCAGGACTTCAGGACCCTCCATGGACCCTGAAATACTTTCATTCTCAGGACTCAGGGACTCAGCAGGGACTGCTCCTAATGGTACCCGCTGCCTAGCAGAGCACTCCGGTCCTAAGTACACACAGCCCCCAAACCCAGCCCACTGGTCGGATCCAAGCCATGGTCCCCCAAGGGGGTCCAGGACCACCGAGAGGAGGAGAGGATCCTGATCAGAGTGAGGCATCTTCAGAAGAAGAGTCAGGAGTGGACCAGGAACTCTCAAGAGAGAATGAAGCTGGGTACCAGGAGGATGGGAACCCTTCTTTTCTTTCCATTCCATCTGCTTGTAATTGCCAGGGAACCCCTGGGATCCCTGAAGGTCCTTATTCTGAAGGAGGAGATAGTTCTTCTAGCAACTTTTGCCACCATTGTACCTCTCCAGCCTTGGGAGACGATGAAGAGTTGGAAGAGGAATATGATGATGAGGAACCTCTTAAGTTCCCCACCGATTTTTCACGTGTGTCCAGTGGAAAGAAACCCCCATCCCGGAGACAGCGGCACCGTTTTCCAGCCAAGGAAGATACTCGGGATGGTGGACGTAGAGATCCCAGGTCCCCTGGTCGACATCTGCTGGGCCGGAAACGAAGTCAGGCAGATAAGCGCAGAGGCCTGGGATTGTGGGGAGCAGAAGAACTATGTCAGCTTGGACAGGCAGGCTTCTGGTGGCTGATTGAACTGTTGGTGTTGGTGGGAGAATATGTGGAAACTTGTGGCCATCTCACCTATGCATGTAGGCAGCTGAAAGGCAGTGATCTGGACCTTTTTCGAGTTTGGGTGGGAGTCTGGGCAGGGAGGCTGGGGGGCTGGGCCCAGGTGATGTCTCAGTTTCTAAGCCAGGGCTTTTACTGTGGGGCAGGACTGTTCACTCGTTTCCTTAGGCTACTGGGTGCTGTGCTGCTTCTGGCTCTGGCCCTCTTTTTAGGCTGTCTACAGTTGGGCTGGCGATTTCTGGTCGGACTAGGTGACCGGTTTGGGATAAGGCCACCTGGCTCTTCTCTTGGCTGGATTCTCCAGCCTTGCAGCATTGCTTGACTTTGTTGAGAGACAGCAGGCCATGGCAGCAGCTGGTAAGGTTAGTTCAGTGGGGTTGGCTGGAGTTGCCTTGGGTCAAGCAGAGGACTAATAGGCAGGGGAATGCATCTGTAGCTAGTGGGCGCTACTGTCAGCCCGAAAAAGAAGTGGCTCGACTTTTGACCATGGCTGGGGTTCCTGAGGATGAACTAAATCCTTTCCATGTGCTGGGCGTTGAAGCCACAGCATCAGATACTGAACTGAAGAAGGCCTATGGGCAGCTGGCAGTGATGGTTCATCCTGATAAAAATCATCATCCCCGGTCTGAGGAGGCCTTTAAGGTTTTGAGGGCAGCTTGGGACATTGTCAGCAACCCTGAAAGGCGGAAGGAATATGAGATGAAATGAATGGCAGAGAATGAACTGAGCCGGTCAGTGAATGAGTTTCTGTCCAAGCTGTAAGATGACCTCAAGGAGGCAATGAATACTATGATGTGTAGCCGATGCCAAGGAAATCATAGAAGGTTTGAAATGGACCGGGAACCTAAGAGTGCCAGATACTGTGCTGAGTGTAATAGGCTGCATCCAGCTGTGGAAGGAGACTTTTGGGCAGAATCAAGCATGCTGGGCCTCAAGATCACCTGCTTTGCACTGATGGATGGAAAGGTCTATGACATCACAGAGTGGGCTGGATGCCAGCGTGTGGGAATCTCTCCAGATACTCACAGAGTTCCCTATCACATCTCATTTGGTTCTCGGATGCCAGGAACCAGTGGTCAGCAGAGAGCCACCCCAGATGCCCCTCCTGCTGACCTTCAGGATTTCTTGAGCCGATATTTCAAGTACCCCCAGGCCAGATGTCCAATGGGAACTTCTTTGCAGCTCCTCAGCCTGGTCCTGGGGTCACTACAGCTTCCAAGCCCAACAGCACAGTACCCAAGGGAGAAGCCAAACCCAAGCGGCGGAAGAAAGTGAGGAGGCCTTTCCAGCATTGACACGCCTTCTCTTGTTTCCTCAAATCAATGTCAGGGAGTCAAAAGGGCTGTGTACAGCAAAGGATGGAGTTTGATTTGTTTATTTTTAACTATTTTAAAAAGGGAAAATTTTAAGCTTAAATTGTTCACTCGGTACTTGTAGGAAGCCTCTTAACTACTTTACTTCCTTCCTCAGCACCCAGGAGTTGAATCTTGTCTTCTGACAATACCAAAGAAAAAGGGGGTGACTAGAGCAAAGAACCTAGGGCTTGAACCTAGGCTGGACAATATATTCCTTTGAGGTGTGGAAACTGGGTATTTCCCTGGGGTCTGCAAGTCTTTGTCATTTGCTTTTAGAGCAGATGATAATCCTCCCTTTTAAACTGAGCATAACTTACTTCTTGACCTGTTTTAGGGGGAGCCCCCTCTTTTACCCTGATAAACTAGTCAAAAGACAGAATGAGAAAGCATGAAGCCCTAAGTTTGGAGATGCATAGAGTTCAGAAAATGGAAACTGAATTTTTCCTCTGTTACTGTGTGGGTAAATAACTCTACTTCAGGCTTGTTGTTGCAAGGATGGCCAAAATTAATAATTTCTAAAAAGCAGACTCATGCCCTCTACCCTTGAGTGAGAGGGAATGATAAGGGGGTTTCCAGAAGCCCCCTTGTGATCCAAGGGTTTGTATTTTTTTAAGTTTGTTCATATTTGTATGTATATATCTATTTAAAGCCAGGGGATTATCTTTCTATAAATATATAACTGGCAAAAAAAAAAAGCAGTTTAAGCATGGTACTGGCACAAAAACAGACATGAAGACCAGTGGAACAGAATAGAGGACCCAGATACGAAGCCACACAACTATAACCAACTTGTCTTTGACAAAGGAGCTAAAAATATACGATGGAGAAATAGCAGCCTCTTCAACAAAAACTGCTGGGAAAACTGGTTAGCAGTCTGCAAAAAACTGAAATTAGATCCACGTATATCACCTTATACCAATATTAACTCAAAATGGATCAAGGATCTTAATATCAGACCACAAACTCTAAAGTTGGTACAGGAAAGAGTAGGAAATACTCTGGAGTTAGTATGTATACGTAATAACTTTCTCAACGAAACCCGAGCAGCACAGCAACTAAGAGGTAGCATAGATAAATGGGACTTCATAAAACTAAAAAGCTTCTTCTGTTCATCAAAAGAAATGGTCTCTAAACTGAAGAGAACACCCACAGAGTGGGAGAAAATATTTGCCAACTATACATCAGACAAAGGACTGATAACCAGAATATATAGGAAACTTAAAAAACTAAATTCTCCCAAAACTAATGAACCAATAAAGAAATGGGCAAGTGAACTAAACAGAACTTTCTCAAAAGAAGAAATTCAAATGGCCAAAAAACACATGAAAAAATGTTCACCATCTCTAGCAATAAAGGAAATGCAAATTAAAACCACACTAAGATTCCACCTCACCCCTGTTAGAATAGCCATTGTTAGAAACACCACCAACAACAGGTGTTGGTGAAGATGTGGGGAAAAAGGAACCCTCTTACACTGCTGGTGGGAATGCAAACTAGGACAACCACTCTGGAAAAAAAAATTTGGAGGCTACTTAAAAAGCTAAACATTGATCTACCATTTGATCCAGCAATACCACTCTTGGGGATAAACCCAAAAGACTGTGACACAGGTTACTCCAGAGGCACCTGCACACCCATGTTTATTGCAGCACTATTCACAATAGCCAAGTTATGGAAACAGCCAAGATGCCCCACCACTGACAAATGGATTAAGAAATGTGGTATTTATACACAATGGAATTTTATGCAGCCATGAAGAAAAATGAAATGTTATCATTCGCTGGTAAATGGATGGAAATGGAAAACATCATCCTAAGCGAGGTTAGCCAGGCCCAGAAGACCAAAAATCGTATGTTCTCCCTCATATGTGGACATTAGATCAAGGGCAAACACAACAAGGGGATTGGACTTTGAGCACATGATGAGGTGAGAGCACACAAGGGAGGGGTGAGGATAGGCAAGAAACCCAAAAAAAACAAGATAGCATTTGATGTCCTCAATGCAAAGGAACTAATGCAGAAACTTTAAAGTGAAAGAGGCCAATAGGAGAAGGGGACCAGGAACTAGAGAAAAGGTGAGATCAAGAAGAATTAACCTAGAAGGTAACACCCGCACAGGAAATTAATATGAGTCAACTCCCTGTATAGCTATCCTTATCTCAACCAGCAAAAACCCTTGGTCCTTCCAATTATTGCTTATACTCTCTCTACAACAAAATTAGAAATAAGGGCAAAATAGTTTCTGCTGGGTATTGAGGGGGTGGAGGGGAGAGAGAGGGGGCGGGGGTGGTAAGGGAGGGGGTGAGGGAGGGGGGAGAAATGACCCAAACATTGTATGCACATATGAATAAAAGAAAAAAAAAAGAAAAACAGTTTACAAAACGGGCAAAGATCTGGTTTCAAGAGTACTAGCAGGCTGTGGTGGGGCACACCTGCAATCCCAGCACTTAAGAGGAGGCAGGAGGATGGAGAATTCCAAGACAGACCCTGTTTCAAAAAAAAAAAAAACCTAAATAAATAAATACATAAATCAAGTCCTAATTAGTTATAGAATGCTAGTGTATTTGTAGTAGCTTCAGACACACAGATCTGAGCAATCTGATGTGAGCAATTGATTTAGGGCCAGAGACCAAACTGTGAGCATTGTGACCACAATAAACAGGAGGATGTCACCAAAAACAGCTCTTGCACGGCTATTGGAAAAACACTTCGTGTGGCCCCCAAAATACTAACATGGTAAAAAAAAAAGTCAGAAATACTTGCTTTGATCAATATTTGAAGTACTTTTAAGTTTGTAGCTTAAAGTGATTTAAACTCATTGAAAAGCGGCAAGAACATACAGAGAACATAGCCCCACGCTGCCCGCCCTCCTCCCCACGTGGGTGTCACAGTACCATCCAGACATCCTGCCCCAAACCCTCAGGCAGGAACTGCCAGCACTGCACCAGCATGCACAGCCTGGGAGCGTCACACCAACACCTGCCCTCCACTCTGCAAACCTGCCTTGTGCTCACCAGCTGTCACGGCGGTCCCCTTCACCTCTCCTGGGCCCAGGACCTAATCCAGGGTTACACGGTGCATTCAGCTTCCTGTGTCTTTGGTTTCCTCCAGTTGGAATGGACCCTCAACCTTTCCTTTCTTCCGAGCACTCTCCTTTGCAGGAGCACAGACTCTCGAAGAATGTTCCTCCATTGGGGTGTACCATGGTGTTCTCAAGCACACTGCACATGGGCCCTGCTGCTGCTGCCTGAAGGCCCTGCTGTTGCCTTCCCTTGGCCAGTGCCCTGCACATAGCTCTCCAGTGGCTGCCTTCCTTATCCTGTCCTTGTCACAGATGTCCCGGTAGCTTTAATGCCACATGTCACCTCCTCACTTCTGAAGGCAGGCCTGAAATCCTGGAGCTGGGCACCACCTCATCAGCACTTGTAGCTTCCCTGTGCATGAATCCCCGCAGATCCAGACTGCTGCCGGTGCTCTTCACCTGCTCTGCTCACCCCCCACTGCCGCCCTCCACCCTTTTTGATTTGGGAGGTGGTCGCCTCCCAAATCAACCACTGGCCACCACTGGCCCTTCATTCCTTGTCTCAGAGCTGCTTTTGTGGACCCAAACTAAGACACTTTACGAGTATGATTTTCTCTTGATACTAGGGATTGAAACCAGGGAGTCACGCATGCTAGCAACACCTGAACCACACGTACAGCCCTCTTTTTTGCTTCATTTTAAGACAGACTTGCTAAGTTGTCCAGGCTGGCCTTGAATTTATCTTAGCTTCCCAGGTAGCCAGGATTGGCAAGAGTTTTCCATCTGGCCTTAGGACCTATTCAGGATCGGGAAAACACTTCTCTCATTCCTCCCTCAGGCTCTTTCTGTCTCTGCCATTCCACACCTCCAGGAGTCATCAGCCTAGACCACCTCCCCTCAGCGTAAGGATCTTAAAGGCATTCACAGACCTTATCTTAAGGGATTAGACAAAACAAAACAGAAACAAAAAAGGAGAAACTAATGCCAGAAGTTTTTACTTGGGAAGTGTGACCGATGACTAAAAGATGCCTTTCTTCACTGCTTTTTTGGTTAAAAAGTAAAAAACCCTCTTTCTTGAAAGTTTCACCTGCTCTAAAACCTTAGGAGAGAAACAGCAGCCCAGGGCTGGGGCTGACTTCTAACTTCAAGACCTAGAAGCAAGAAAATCTTTTCTGGGGCTGGTGGCATGGTTCAAGCGGTAGAGTTGAGGAATGCCTAGCATGAAGCCCTGAGTTCAACTCCAGTACCACGAAAGGAAAGAAGGAAGGAAGGAAGGAGGGAGGAAGGGAGGAAATCTTTTCTGTAGACAACCTCCACGGCTACAGATGAAAGGTGGGCATGACTGTGAGACTCCAGAGCAACGCAGGAGGTGGCAGGCAGCCTTTTGAACACTGTGAAAAGCCTTCAACAAGAGTACAACAGACTTGGGGCAGGAGGTAGGTAAGTCATGACCATGAAATACCATTTCCAAGCATGGGCCACCTGGGTCACAGTGCAAGGCCATATGCTAGTGACATAGACCTAATCATAGTTATTTGCACGTTTTATTTGCACCACATATACTGTTCTCTTGAGAAAGTGCTGCTAACATATGCATGTTCCAAAGTATAGAGCATAGCACTCAAAAATGTCAACTTTTAGATACTCTCAAGTTACTATTTCAGAATATTTACTTCTTTGGTGAGCATTCATTATGATTCTCCTTTATCTCTATTTTACTTTTTCTGACTGTAACTACAAGACCCAGACAAGACCAACACATATCATAAGCATTGGAAAACAGCTGTCAATATGGAACAGTTTAGTGAGTCCACCAGAAAGGGGACTCAACAGCATGCTTACAAAGCCCTTTTATGCTGATTTCTTGTACCTAGATAGGACAGGAAACATTTCTTGCTGATTTTAAAGCTGTCTAGTGGAGTACCAGAGCCTCCAGCAGCAGCTGCCTGCTGGTGGTTTGGAGGTAATGACTGCTCCATTGATTTTCCCCAAGGACGTTCACTAATTCCACCTAGACAGGCTATGTGCTGCACACCGCGGATGTGAACCCCTGAATAGAGCAGGAAGCCACAGGAAACATGATCAGCCAGCACAGGGATTTGCAGTTGTCATGTGAGTGTGTGAGCCTGCACCACCACATCAGGGAAGACAAGTTCTGCCCCAACGCTTGGAAGTTCTCACTTCTCACTCCAGTTTGCACAGCTGGCTGTAAGCACTGTTCACATACCTCCAGTAGCTGCATCTTGAGGGAACGAGTGCGTGGTTGCGCAGATCTGCAGGAAGGTCAGGATGGCTGCCAAGCCCTTCTGCACAATCAGCTGAGGAGGAAATTCCAGAGGGCAGTGCCTCAGGTTCAGGGCCTTCAGTGTGGTCACATGCCCTGCAGGGAGCAGAGAAGTGTCAGCATTGCATGCTTTTCTACACACTGGATGGCAGGAGAGATGAAAGCAACTATCCTCATGTTTATAAACAATTCTGGTCAGGGTTTGAGGTGAAAGAGGATGAGGACGTCTGAGTTCTGCCTTTAAAAACTTTGCAGGGGAGGCAGATTAAGGCAGTCTAGTTACAAAAGCAAACAAACAGCAGCACAACCTTCAGGTAAAGTTCACAGCATAAAGTTGCTAAAATACCCATTTACAATATAAAAAATGCATAACACGTGAAGAAAAAGAAAAGCAGATAAGTGACCTGAGTATGTGACTCAGGAAACAAGCCATTCAGAGAAACCCTCTGGGCAGGCCAGACACTGGGGTTAGCAAAGACTTCAAGCAGCCATCATAAATACATCTAAGAAATGAAAAAAAAAGTCTAAATAACCAGAGGAAAATATAATAAAATGACAACAAATACGGAATGCTAATAAAAGCAGAAACTATAAAAAAGTACTCAATAACAGCTTTAAGAGTTGAAAATTGCAATAATTGACGTGAACAGTTCATGAGAGGGCCTCAACATCAGACAGGAGACACAAGAAGAAACCATCAAAAATCACACAATCTGAAGATGAGAAAGGAAATGTGTCATTGCATCCTTCCCTAGTCCTCTCTTCCAGGGGCAGCTGCAGTAAGAAATTCCACAGAGTGTGCACTCCACTGGTGAACATGCTGCAAGTTTGAGGACTAGGGAAGCTCACAGCCTCAGGTGCTCCTGATATTGGGGGCCAGGCAATTCTTAGTTCTGGGGGCTGTCCCATGTCTTGGGGGTGTTCAGTGGTACCCCCACCCCCAGTCATGACAACCACTAATGTCTCCAGACATTGCCATGGTCTCCAGGGTGCAAAACTGACCCCCATGACCCCTGCTGAGAACCTCTGCTCAGGCCTTCCGCATCTTCTAGTTACAAACTTGCTGGATACCAGCTTTTCCTGGACGTGCTATGAGCAATCCTAGTATTTTAAGTGCTCCATTTGGAAGATTTTGGCTGCACAAGAATGAAGACAGTCTCTGAAAAAAAATCACGAGATGGGCTTCAGAGCCCATTGGGGATGATGGGAAAAGACTCTTGAACTCGAGGACGGTCACCCGCCTTCTCTAAAGAGCAGAAAGAATATCGCTTTTCCCCATGCACAGCACCTTACTGACAGAATGACGTGGTGCTGGCTGCTTGCTAAGCTTTCAGTGGCACCTCTGCGGCCACTCCAGCTCTCCCACACTGCTGTTTGCAAAGTATGCTTCTTTAGTCTTTGATTTTCAGTCTCTCAATATTCAAGCTCTCTGTGTTGTCAATACATTGCTAGCAGGCAGTCTATGTTGTGTCTTGCTATTTTTTTTTAAATGCAGTTTCTGTCTTTTATATAGCAATTAAAGTAGGACTCAGCAACAGGTCCTTGGAAAATCCTAAGTAGTCCAATAGGTCAATTCCACCAGAAAACATCTTCAGCTGAATGAAAACATGGGATTCAGTTTAGGGCAAGAGTGTAGTTGTAAATCATGCATCAGAAAAGAAAAATTTTAAGCCTGTCTTTCAACTCAATTAGGTTTGAAAATAGCAAATCAAACCTAAATGAAGCAGACAAAAAGACAAAGAGCAGAAATCTCTGACCAAGCAGATGCACAACAGAGAGAATTAGCTTCCTCCTCGTTCACGCACAACAATGTGTCCCAATGAGTGAGCTACGTCACACGTCCACGTGGGAAAACCTCAAAAGTGCAACGGGGAGCCAAGAAGGTAGAGCACAGAGTCCAGAGGGAAAGCTTGACATATTGACAATCCAGAGGCAGGCCTTCAAACAACACCAAGGGACCATGAATGGCCACTCCCACGGAAGGCAGAGCTGTGTGTGGGAGTACACGCATGCCAGGTTCCTGAGGCTACCATGCCAGCGGTCTCCACACCCATGGCTCCTCGCACAGCATTCACATGCCCCCCCCTTCCGCGTGCACTGCACCTCAGGGACAGCGTGTCCTGCAGCACAGAAGGTTCTGAATACCTGGTATTTCCATCACAAGGTCCAGTAACTTCAAAAGATAGCATGCTAAAAATAAGCTTTTATTTTATTAACACTTACCCAGCTCCACAGGTAACATTTTGATAGGATTTTTTTCTAAAAGCAAAGTTTTCAAATGCCTTTAAAACAAAAAAAACAAAATAATTTCAGAAGTAGAAAATTGACTATGTCTAAAATATATATGTAGCTTGTGTTTTGGGGGGAATGCTGGGGAAATAGTTACCAATATTAAGCTGAAAGTGTGCAGGAGGGTCCTCTATCTTCTGTAGTAATATACTAAACTATTCCTGATAGATTTACTCACTGGCTATTTCGTTTCAGATTTTCAAATGAATATAAACTTGTGTAGTGCATTGGGCTTGTTTCCTCAGGAGCAAATAAACTGACCCACCATTTTTAACCTCCTCTGTCTGAGGAAGCTCACACAGTCATGGAGAACACTGATACTACCATTGTTTTAATTATGGCTTAAGGGTTTAATAAGCCCATAATTACTTAAAATTTCTAATTAATATGTTGCAACTCCTCAGCAAGCTGATCCAATTTTAACAATATAATGGGTTATAAACCACAGGCCAAACTATATCTTAAACAACACAAGGCAGCTGGCTTTGACTGGCAAAATCAAAGAATTCCAAAGTTTGAGAACTGTGCACTATTTCAGGAAGAAGTGGCATTTATGGAAATAGGCTTGGCTTTATTTTTATTCTTCATAGCAATTACTCTGCACAGCTGAGTGCTGAGGCTAAAATAGTTTGTGGACAAAGTGCACTGAGTTCTCCCAACCCAGATGATGATGGCCTGGTGAGAAAAGTGCCTCCTGTGCACAGGGCCTCAGGCTCGGCAGACACACAGGTCGCCCAGCACTTGGCAGGACTGGCAGGCAGAGCAGTCTAGGGACTGGGTCCACTGTTCCACACCCAGAAACACAGCAGCCTCAGAACTCTATCATGACCCAAACTCACAGAGGCCCTTGATGCCTCTTCCACTCCTGTTATGTCACCCGAACCCCGCCAGCCCTGCCTCCTGCAGGGTCTGCTGCGGCGGCCTCCCAGCTTGGCTCCCTGCCTCACCTCACCCCACAGCCTCCTCTTCAGAGTTATCTGAGGCCAAGTCGAGGACGACCCCGCTCCACTCAAAGCTTCCTGTGACTTCCCTGTTCCTTTCACATAAATCCCAAAGCTAAGATCACGGGCTCCAAACTCTTCAGACTCCCTTCAGCCTCCTCTCTTACCATGTCCCTGCTCTGCTTCAGCGTGCTCACCTCCTTGCTGTCCTTAGTACCTGCAGGCACACGCCTCCCCAGGACCTTTGCATGTGCTCTTCCCTCTGCCCAGATGCACTGACTTGGGGGGCAGGGTCTTGAGTGTTTGTCCAGAGGTAACGGCAGAACAGATTCTGCGGGCTAAGAGATGCTGGCACAGAGACATGGTCATGGAGCTTGGGCTTGGGAAAGGAGGGTGACTCCACGCTGGGGTGGAGCCCTGGTGGAGATGTGGCTTTCCAGAATAGCGGGACTATGCTCTATAAGTGGAAGTGCAAACATATCCTTGGTACGGCAGGGCAGGACTGTGGCAGGATGGCACATGTTGCTTGCGTCCAGCTCTCCAAAACGAAAGGAATTTCTTATTCTTTTCCAAGAACCAATTCAGATTACATAAGGCCCATAGGAACATCAGAGGCATTTCTGACCCTCAGGTGCTTTACCCAGAAGAGTCAGAGGTGGAATCAGCTGTTGTAAAAACCATATGGCCGTGCAACAGAGACACTGACCACTGCCACTCTTCTCTGTGTCAAATGGCCAATTATAGTACTGGTTAGGCATGCTTGGGGCGGTCAGTCTTCACACCTCAGAACTGGCTCTAAAAAACTATTCGGTGCTCTTTCCAAAGAACCCACTCCAGAGTAGAAGCTAAGCTGCAAAGGACCAGGCATGCACACATTCCTCAAATCTGGAAACAAGCACACAACTCACTTGTGAGTGCCGATCCCCGCGGGAAGCGCCTTAATCCTGTTGTGCCGGAGGTCAAGCCAGGTCAGGCAGGGCAGCAGCTGGAAGAAGTTGCTAGGGATTGTGCACAGGGCGTTCCTCTGCAGGTGCAGCTCCTTCCAGAGAGGAGGAGGAAGAGCCAGAGCACATCAGTCAACGAGCTGCATTTTAAACTGCAACATGTCCAAAAGTGCTTCCCAAAGAACGACTAGTGACCACAACCACACTTACCAGATTCAAAAGAGCTATGGAGGAACTCACACAGTAGACACAGGAATCAGAAAGGAAAGAGCCGTTTTCAGTGCTGGGGTACCTCAAGCCCATCACCTGCTCTAATGGGTATCCTTGGACACCAAACATCTTGGGGTCTTACCAGCTTTCTCCTTCCTGGGCCATAGTGACAAGGCTGTTGGCAGCCCCAGCGAGCCATCTGCTCAGTGAGCAAACAGCAAGAGCCATGACTGGTCTGAGGGATTCCTCCTAAGTCAACAAGAAACCGCAGGGCGACACTCTGATAAATTCGGGTGACAATGATTTATGACGAACAACCATGCAAAATAACTTGATCCAGCACCTCCAGGGGGGTTTTAGGTCTCCCTTGTAAATAAGGGAGTAGAAGACTAAAGACACACTCCTGATGCCAGCCACGTAAAGTAGATTCACTAGGTCTTCAACCCCTCGCAAGGCTGTGTCCGAAGACCCTCAGTGGATGCCTGGAACCATGGGAGCACTGAATCTACACTGTTCTTCCTGTATGCTATGCTCATACCTACACCAAGGTTTACTCATAAGTCAGGCACAGTAAGAGATTCATGATAATATCTAATAATAGAACAATTACAAGAATATACTGTAATAAGTTATTAAATCATGAAGTATTTGTTTCTGAAAATTTCTATTGAATGTTCCTGAATAAGGGGGAACACTGTGTATATAATTTTACAGGGTTAATAGAGGTATAGGTAATCTTTACAATACCTTCACTAATTCTGTTGTTAGGCTGTACCTATTAATGCACATTTTTATATCAATGCCCATATTACTACGGGGACAGAACAGATGCACTGAGCACTGCCCTTGAAGTCAGGCTGCCTAGGTTCAAAAAACTGTTAGCTGTGTGACCTTCAGCAAGCCTGAACCCCTCTGTGCTGTGTCCTTGACTGTAGAATGGTGGCAGCGGTACCTAACTTGCAGGTGGCACCAAGTGAGCAGTGGCACAGGAAGTGCACAGGTGCCAGTCGTTGCCATTATGCTGCCTGTCTACGCGCAGTGCACCAGGCTGTGCCTTCACATCATGGCAGCTTGGCTCCCAACTCTACCTCCAGTCTAACCTTACACATCCAGGTCATTTACAGGCCTCTGAGAAACACTGACTAAAAACCACACCTCTCAGTGCACTGAAAATAGTATGTCCATTCAGAAACTGCCAGTCCCTGCCTGCCGGCAGCTGGCCTGCTCTCTGGAAAGCAGAGTGGCAATTGAAGGTGCACAGCACCTGCCTCCAGGTGTGTAGGGATGCACACACTCACACGTGCCGCCAGACACATGAGTATTCATGTCCCTACACACACGTGTTCGGGCCTCCATCATGGCCCTTCTCAGCCTTCTGTTGGAGCAGAGGTTTTAAGTTTCCCAGGCCTCCTTTTCCCCTCAGTGCTAGCTAACTCTAGCCCCACATTTGAAACCACAGGTCCTTCGGATACAAGAAAACAAGTCTCAGAAGGATAAACAACTCAGCAGCTCTGGAAGAGCAGGCGCTGCTCTGCATCTGAGGGCAGGGTGGAGCAGTGCCATTGGTGATTCTGGGCTGGGGTGGAGCACCACACTGGCCATGTGGGTCCCTCCTAGAGGTCAGTGCCAACAAAACAGACCAAGTTGGGAGGATCGAGAGTTTAAGGCCAGCCTGGGCTACACGGTGAGATCCTGTCTCAAAAAAAAAAAAAAGAAAGAAAAGAAAAGAAATAGCAGGACCACCACTGCCCTGAGAGCAGAGCCGGGCAGTATGCAGACACAACAGGCTTTGGTAGTGTGAGCAACCAGGTAGAGGCCAAGAGCACAGTTTTTGTAAAAGCTGCCCGGGGAAATAGGCATCACAGCTGTCCCAGGCACTGTCTTCTCTTTAGAGCAACGCATGAAAATATTTAATTCCCAGATTCTGGATGAAGCCAAAAGAGGCGTCAGGGATTCTGTGACACCACTGCCCGTTCTGTCTGACCATCAGCACTGTGCTCCAAGGGGACTTGCTACAGATGGCACAGGGACAAGACATCAGTCACTGGGGACTGCCCTGCAGAAGGGGCTGGCACATAGCAAAGTAGAAAGCGTGAAAGTTATAAACTGTTTTGATATTGCCCCAGGGCTTTCAAAGGAGGTGGGCAGTGATCTCCACCAGGCTGTTCTGTGCCTGAGACTTCCCTGTGGAGAGAGGCGATCTACAGTCAGCTGCATGCCCAGTGCGGATCTCAGCTGCTCTGTTGTAACCTCAATCAACCCTTCCTCTGTCTCAGTCTAGAATCCACCTCTCCTGACGATGAAGCGCCTACAAGTCCAGTGCTGCTTCCACTTGTACAAACACCCCCGAGAACAGTGCACTTACTTGAAGGTTGGGGATTTTGAAGACCTCTCCGAAATGGTGTAGACCACTATGACTCAAGTCTAAAATCCCCAAGGAAGAAAAGCTGGTCCCCTTAGTATCCTTGTGAACATCTTTGCAGGGGGAGGTGGACAAGCTCCTGACTTGGCCAGCGCCTGCCTCAGGATCACCAGGATCACCGGCAGCCTCCAGGTCAGCTGCACCGGCACCGCTGTCCTCCATCTGTCGCCCTCCAGCGGCCACCGCTCATCCTCCTAGGTCTGGAACCACCTGGAAACACAGGCAGGAGGCCTAGCAACCAAGACTCACACAGGTGAAATGGGGTAGCTGGGTAGATATTTGTCACAAACACCATGGTGAATCTGACTTTCAAACATGTAAAGTTCCGGACATTCACATTCTCTGCTCCTCTCACGATAAACAAAAGTTTAAAAAGTTTACAGTTCCAGTATTTAACTCCTGGAAAATGCAGACGCCCTGGAGGAATGTTAGGGAT